AGGAACACGAGAGAAGAGGGTCAGCAGACACAGGTTTCTATCATGCTACCCCTCCCCCCCGATCCGGGTGCAGCAAGCAGTGCTGCAGAGCGAGGCCACAGTCCAGGAACCAGACTAAGGAGGCACGGGTGTGTGCACGCGCCGTGTCACAAGCTATTTAAGGAGGCATTTAAACATCCTCGTGCCTTCAACTTCAAGCCTTGGGACCTAAACACGAGAAGTGAAACTGGTAAAAAGCACCAGCTTTTAAGAAAAGGAGCTGTGATTCATAAAGTGCTAACGTAATGCAGTTGGCATTTCTAGATTCCAAGAGGCACAACCCAAAAGCCGAACTTGTGGAAATGTTCTACGAGACGCTGCTTTGTGATTTCCTAAACTACACTCCTGATCCAGCTTGACGTGCTGCCAAAGAATGCTGAGAGTCAACATGTTTAACCCGATGTGGAGTGTGTCTAACCCTCCAGAGGCTTGGGGGGACTTTTTCTGACAACTGCGAAGCCGTAGGTCCAATGGCCGACCCTGCCTTTACTCTTCCGCCCCCTCTGGTGGCCTCTTTCTGCCGAGGCAAAGTGGCCCTTCTCTCCACCCGCCCCCCCTCACCTGGCCCTGCTCCGTCACCTCACATCCACTCACCCCGAGATGAGATTGACAGCACCCTGCGCCGTCCGAGGAGGGAAGAATTCCAGAGAGAACCACTTGTCCCCGGACTCCATCCTCCGCCTCATCTTCTCCCGGAGTCTCTCGTGCCGCTCAGGGTCCAGCCCTGGCGAGGAACATCTCGAACTATCCTTGGGGCTCTCCATGCCGCTGCTGCTGCCCTCCAGGCAGGGGTTGGGGCTGCCGTTCCCTCTGGGTTCGTTCACCATGGCCGAGTTCCTGCTACATGAGATGGGGGCAGGGGGCGTCAGAAGCCGGCAGGCAGCCAAGCCCCAGAGAGGCAGGGTCAAGTGACAGTTGCTGCATTTCCACGGAGGGTCAGGGTGAGAAGGCCCCCCGCCGGCTGGCTCACACGCCACAGCTACCACCCACTGCGCGGCCTCACTCAAAGCTTCTCCCCCTGCTGCTGCCCGACTCCGTGTATGACAGCCCCCTCCCGTACAGAAACATGCCCCTTCAGCCCTCGGATCCGCAGTGGCCGCTACCTGATGGAGGGTGGCACTGAGAACCTCATGAGGCCAGCCTCCAGGGCCCGCATTCCCAGGGAGGGGCAGCAGTGCCTGGCTGGGAGGACCTCGGGTTTTAGATGGTCCATCTCTGCCAGCTTGGACCCAGACTGGGCTGGGAACAGGAAACTTCCCCTGCGGGTGTTTCTCTCATGGGCGGAGCAGTGACAGAGGAAGAGCTTAGAGCTACAGCTGGGACCTGCGTAAGGGAGAGGGAGGCGGGGGCAAGGCCTCCGGGCAGGGGGAGGGCCGAGGCTCCAGCTGTAGTAGGCAGATAGAAGGAGGGCCAGAGACTGTGGGGGTTGGTGGAGATGAGGCCAACAGACGTTCAGGGTCACTGGATCACTCTCCAAAGAAGAAACAGCTGATCCTGTCCTGCCTGGGACATCTCCTGTTGCTTGGAACAGTTTGTGTGCAGGATGGAGGAGGCGAGGGCTTGACAAAGCAGCCAGATTTCTCCTGAATTCCTGCTGCTCCAAAAAGACTAGGTCATGCGTTAGAACTTGATAATTGGCTGGGTTCCAAAAGTAGCCAGAACCAAGTTCAGTGAGGGCTAAGGTTATGTCCAACTCAGAATAAAGGCTACCTGATGGAAGGAGACTTTGACTGGGGTGATGAAGACACAATACAAAGTACAGATGATGTATTATAGAACTGTACACCTGAAACCTGTATAACTTTACCTGCCAATGGTTACCCCAATAAATTTAAAAAAGTTTTTTTAAAAGAGCAAAGGCTGCCTTCCAGGTACACCCCCACTAACACACACCACTGAGGTCAGTTAAACTAATTATAGTGACTGCTCAGCCACACATCCCAAGCTCTGAGACAACAGTGGCAACCACAGGCAGGCCAACAAAGGGCATGGTGCCAGT